TCTCTCCAATTAGTCTTCGCTTTGTTCATCAGATTATGATTTGTTATTTTATTTTCAATCAAATTTAGCCGGAGAATGAATCAGGAGACTTCGCATGATTTTAATTTTTACTTGACTTAAGGGGCTGTTGTCCAGAAGAATTATCCCTTTACACCCCAACATCAGTATGCATATTCTCCAAACTGTTCTCTATGCATTTCTTAGGGTGCTGACAAGGAGAATTTGTTCAACAATCCAGAGCTTCTTTAGTTGATGATCACTCTCTTTATTCTTGTGACCTTAATGTTTGATACAGGGATGGTATTGTTGGGAGAAATTTAATGCTGGTCATTCCTAGGGTTCAAAGGGTTACTTGAAAAGTGGTTGTTTTCGTTACAGGGAAGGATGTGAAAGATTTACACCAGATTAGTCCTCATCACTGTTTGAATAAAGAACTTCTACTCCGATTACAACAAGGTACGTGTGTTAGTTATACTGATACTAGCTGGAGAAGGCGTCTTTTCCTTGCTCATTTGCTTGTTTTTTCGTTTTTTTTTTAATTTTTTTTTTTGCGTTATACCATTATGATCAGTAGTTTTCAAATGACTCCATATTGAACGTAATTATAATTACATGTTGTGGCTGGTTATTACGCCTCTTCAGACAATTGGCATAAAACCGAGTAATTTCCTCAGACTTTCTTCGGCTTGTTCATTCTAATGGAGTCGTACAGCGTAGATAAGCAAGTGACGAAGGAACAGGAAAATACCTTACCGATCGTCATGTTTCGCCACATTTTGATCGACAACGCATTGAAGGGAAATGTAAATGCGCCAAACTCCGGATCTAGATTTCTAGGTTTATGCCCTGTCCCGGTTATTGAGTGTTGTTTGCACTGATCCTCTCTCTGCCTGAGATCAGAGTTACAAACTCTGAGGTAAGTGAGAGTTGCCAAGGGTCACCTGCGATCCATAAGCATTCTACGTACATGTAGGGGGAGTTAGGAATACTCCAATTTGTTACATGACACAGAAACCGAGAGAAGTGCCAGCAGTTTACTTATCTCAAAAGGCCTGAAGGAGGCCGTAATCGAAACCTTTTTTCTTCTTCAGACCCGTTTGCTCCTCTCCGTCCAGAGACAGATTCTCCGCATCACGTGTGTGCTGTTATGGCTGATGTGCTGCACAGTCATCACCTTATGAAGCCTCCATTGTTTGAGCCGTTCCTTCCTTTCATGAATGGCGTGCTCAATAGCGCTCTCCGTAAGTATGCGACCACTGATCGCTAACAAATCAATTTGAACAAGATTTCTTTGAGTATTTAGAATAATAAGGATGATGAACTTTGAGTTTGGTGATGAAATAAAAGAGAATGTTGTTTGGTCTTGTCACTAGCATGGAACGCCACAGAGATCGGTAGCTAACCACGAGAATGACTTAAACCGTGTCGATTATTTGATTGCAGAAAACCAAAGTAGTACCTTAGAGAAGATAGCCCAGTTACAACACATTCAGTTTTTGATAGAACAACAACCAGTTCAAAGACGGAATCTCATCACAAAACTAACTAGACATCTTGTGAGGTAACTTTGACTGAGAACGAAATAAATCTGTAGAGCAGGTTTGGTTTGTTTTGGGGGAAAATTGGACGAATTCATTGGGTGAAAACGCCGATTCATCTAAGCTGTACGATGTACGTTTTCTCAACTTGTACACTTTTCGGTTTCAATGCGGGAAGATGTTGAACTTTTGTCTCGAGCGCGAGTCAAAGAAACATGTGAGTTCCTCGGGCTGATTCGAACCTTCAAGTAAGTTTTGATTTCGCATTCTAAAGCTCTGCAACTGAGCTACAGAGAATTCTTTTATCGCGTTCATCGTGCTTACACCTTAGAATTGCCACTTTAAGGCTTTCTCTACACCACGTTAATGACTAGAAACAAGAGATTACACAGCTGATAATCTCTTGCCACCCCACCCCTCCCCCTAGGGAAGAGGGGGTGGGGTGGGGTGGGGTGGGTGGAAGTTAAGGATGAAACCGGGTAATGACTGTGACTTTGTATGACAATTTTTCTTCAATTTCTTTCACTTGCGTCACGCTTACATGTATTTTGTTTGAATTTTTTAAGTGTATCGGAAAGGCTCAATATACCATCTAAAAATTTGGCTCTTGCAAGTGACGAAAATCAGGTAAGTGTTTGTTTTCTGTAATTACTCGCGTGTTGCGGAACCAACAAACCACCGCCAGTTGTTCTCTTAACATGTAATTGATGTTTTTAGCCCTTAGAGCTTTCCATGCTGCTGATGTATCTGAACAAATACCACCAGTGGCTTTTCAGGGTAAGAAGAGTGTTTCAATTAATTTGCTAGTACTATTGTTGACTGATTAGAGCGATGCTTTTCCTTTGTTGTCAGTAGTAGGGACCTTTACAATTTACGACGAGTACGACTGCGGATTTCAGACTTTCCGATAGGTGGAAGAGTGGGTGCGTGCGAAGGTGCGCTAATATGGCGGGAAAACGCGGTAGCCGCCAACATTATAACGAAGGGACAAACCCAAAATACCGATGCAATCGCAGTTTTTAGTTTTCCAATCAGGGAAAGGTTGAATTACTTCCAATAATGATATCTATGCAAGTTTTGTGGCTTATGAGGAGTCGTATATTTTCCAAGTATTGGGCAAAAAACACGAATTCAAATCTCATACTCGCAGTGACACAGGTCCTAGAATTTAAAAATATCTGATTTGTTTTTCTTTGTTAATTTATGAAATCTTTGAGGATTAGTCCAAGCTGATTGAGGCATGTCAGCCCATTTGATAATTTTTATGTCTCCTTGCCTCGTTTCTCTTCTAGAATCACCACACTCCTGCAGGATGGCCAAAGACTGTCAGTGATTTGAGTTTTAATTCAAGTAGCATGGTGGTAAATATTCGTCACGTGGTTCAACCAGTACAAGAACCAATGGATACAACCGATGATGCTGGTGTGTTCAATGTAGAATTGCAAAACAGTTTATCTTTTATACATAAATTCTTAAAGGCGATTTCTTTTCTCTTTTTTTGTCGGCAGACCTTGAGAACAGTCATACCAACCCCCCTGCACCGCAGCCGACCAAGGGTGGCGTTCAAGATTCGCTCGAACTTTTGTCGATCGAGGCAGAAGAGAGAAGTGGTTTGACGATTGCAAATACAGCGTCATTTAAAGGCCTGGTGCAACAGTTCATGGATGTAACCAATTCAAGTGAAGGTAGTGATTTGCGTACCAGAATAGGACTTATTTAGAAAGAGCTCGAGTCACTCTTACATTCTCTTTGGTTTCTAATAAAACATGCGCTTTTTCAGGTAGAGAATGCAAAGTTAGGGTGCTATGAGTTTTATTTGAAATTACGTTTACAAATGACAATACCACGTTCTCTCTTTTATTAGTTACTGCAATAAATCTCCTTAAAGCCTGCAGAGGAAACCTGGAGATGGCTATGGAGTTGCATTTCAGCAAACAAGAAGCCATGCCTGATTTGGAGGAGGCAGTTGGTGATGTTGCTATGGAGACAAGTTCTTGCACGATGACGTCTTCTGGTGCAACCGTCGGGACCCATGGCAAGTTTGAGGATTCGAGTTCGTGTTCGGCAGAGGGAATTAACGAAAGCATTTTAAGCCTGTTGGTGAAGCTGTTATCCGCCAAGTCTACAAGTTCGACACCACCAGGAAGGTTGGTGAAACTTCGTTTGTAATATGATAACTGTGGAGAATCCCGTCTATTCTTTTACTCACAGATCTGTTAAACAAGAGGTCTCCACTTCCCCAAACAACATCAAAACGTTATTCAGCCAAAAGGTCAATTAAGTTTTTTTAATGTTCACGATGGGAAAAATTTCCAAATTCAAGAGAGAGTGGTGGATGTGGCAGACGATAAGGCAAGGTACTCACCAATTTTTTCGGTTTAAAAAACTCGTGAGAGCACAACTCTTACACGCCTATTTGCGAGGACTGGCGTTTTCGCGTTTCGCCTCGTTTAAGACTGGACGAGTTAGACTGTCATAATGTAAAAAATGTCAAATCTTTGATTGGAACTCTTGTTTTCCACAACGAAAGGAGTCCAGCGTGTGCTGACGATGTGCACTACTTGTCAGACCTGTTAGCCGTGATTAGCAGGTCCAGTCCCGAGAATGCTGCAGTACTGCGCAAGCTTCAACCCCAAACCTCACAAGTGAGCCCCGGTCCTTCCTCCCCTGATAGTGGTATGGACAATTCTGTAGCCAGGACCATGCGCAAGTATGTGTGAGAGAAACTTCTCTGTGCGTTTCAGAGCGTGTTTCGATTGAGTGTCATCAAACCAAATCCAAAATAATCACAACGGCATGACCAAGGCACCATTGGTTCAAGTTTTAAATCTAATTGGCTGAGAGGATGGCACGAGTTTTTGGACCAATCAATCAAAAGCAAATGAAAGGAAAATTAAAGCATTCCCGGAGTACAATCGACAATCGATTGAAAATTGCTCCTCAGGGAAATTGTGGTCTGTTGCCCTGTTTTTGCCTATTTCAGCAGCTTTATTGCTTACTTATGAGATCCAATATTAACGCTTCTGCTTATCGCGCTGGCTCAAGTGCTAAACTCGTAAACTAGCCCTTGCTTTAAAAATACCGAAACTGTTTAGAAATATTTAGATGTGAAAAGAAATGTTATTTTACTCTGCACACACTGTTTCTTCTTCAGACGACAGCTCGCCAGGGAACGTCAGCAGAAGCTTTTAGCAGAGTTTGCTTCCAAGCAGAAAATTTTTATGGAGAAAACCCTGAAGAAAGACCTAGGTATGCCTCGCTTAAACTTAAGAAAATACAGTCTTTTTCAAGGATATGTCTGCGCTGTGGTCTTGCAAGTAGAACTACGCAAAGTTTTTTAATCTTTTATGAAATGAAATTGGCAAGAGTTCACATCACTGAGCGCTTGAGTTTAAGGGCCTCGTTAGGGTACACGGTACTGATTTGGCCAATGTAGCAATAACAGCAACACCAAGTACAATAGCAACAATAACATCAAACAAATGGTTTGTTGGAGCTACTCGCAGGTCCATTGCAATGCTATGTTTTGTTCATGCAGTTAAACGCTGCACTTAACGTTTCTTTCTCAGTCGCCCTAGATGCTGCAGATGGTATGCCCAGCGAAAAAGCGGAAGACTTTTTGGATTGTGTTATCTGTGGACAAGCATCCACATCCACGGAGGATAGGCCTATTGGACTGGTGACCCTGTTGCAACCCAGTGCAGGTAATCAGATTTGCTTGTTTTCGCGAACCTGAACCGAACCTTAGTTACGCCACTGACTGCATGAAAATGAGAAATAACCAGAAGAAAGAGTTACATAAGGGATCTTTTGTGTTTAATTACTTCCTAACGTTTTCACCTTTGCCTTTTTTTTTTCTTCTCTGAATGCAAGAGGCAGGAAAGTTGTCTGGAGTATAGAATATGCCATGACCTTACTAAGATTTCCAAATGCATTTAAAAGTCTTTATTAAGTTTCCTAATCGAGGTGTAAGTAATTAATAGAAATAGAGAGATGAGCGAGTTGTCGAGTATTTTTTCCCTTTACCACAGTGCTAAAACACAGAGCTCATCATGTAAGACACACCCAGCTACCGCTGAACCGTGAGGAGGAGGAGAGTCGTGTCATTAATTGTGAGACAACCTTCAGGAACAGATTTGAAGATCTTAGGAGATGCTTTGATTTGGTACGATTTGCTCTCAATAAGGGGCCGGAACATAAGGTGCCAAGGCGCGGCAACAAGTCTCTGCCGGGGACAAGGTGCCCCTTGTAAATGATTTCCAAAACATGTCGCTGTGACTCATGTTAACACTGCAATCAATACAAATTGAAACCAATTAGAATCTGTGCGACTAGTTGCGGTGTTAAGATTCGGTCACGAAGACAAAGGTTTGTCACAAACGTTTTCCATATCATACTTAGAGCGACTTGCCTTTTGTCTCGGCCCTTAGACTAGCCTGTTTAGTGACGGGTCCAATATTGGACCAACGTTATTACGTCACTGCAAGCAACATTGCATACAAGAACATGAGTGACGGGTTCAATCTTGGACCAACGTTATAACCTCGGGTTCAATCGTGGACCAACGTTATAACATCGTTGCAAGCAACATTGAATACAAGAACTTTCTTACACAATCAGGGTAAATGTGAAGCGAGAAACTGGGTGGCTGTTCCTAAGCACGAGAACATAATAAAAACGTTGATTATTAAGTGAGAAAGTGCAGCCTATACCAGGCGCGATATAAAATGCAACATGTAGCCAGTTACAATTTAGACGTGCCAGGCGGCCTGGTCAAGCGCGGGAAAACACGCGGTTCTACCAGGCGCGTGACAAAAAAAACTGCAGCCTTTCAAAATGCGGAGAACACGCGTCACTCTTTAGAGCGGGAAAAGCAATTCACCTGTTTTTAGTTTAGGAAAGTGTCCAAAGGTGTTAAATTGCATTGATGTTTTTTTGTTGGAAAATAGGCTTACTGTTACAATTGCTGGTCTCCTTTAGATTACCGTAGGCTAGAAACAAAACATCTTGTTCTCTTTTCATCGATGTTTCTCGAGTTAAAATTTTTCCATTTTAATTTAGATACCAAGCATGGATGCATCTGCCAGTGGAACAGAAGGAGGGGTGCATATTCAATCTTGCGGTCATCTCCTTCATGTTGACTGTCACCAATCGTATCTAAAATCTCTTCAGGTACAGGAGTGGAATAAGTAAACTTTTGAATGCGCAGCCTTCCTTTTTTGGAGAGAACAACCAAAAAAATCATTCAAACCGCGGATTCATATTATAATGTTAAGTTATATTGAAACCTCTGTACACGGGAGTATTTCTTACATAGATACCTTTAGTTTATATTTGCAATACTTAATTGTTTATAGTGTGCTAAGTGCGGAAAGTCTACTGATGCAACTGAACTTCTCTTGCAGGAGGAGGATGCTAACCAGCTTTACCACGTGCAGCCGTTCAACCCAAGAAATGGGGAATTCACTTGTCCTTTGTGCCGACAGCTTGGTAACTCTGTGCTTCCTGTTGTACCGTCGCACATTATCCCGGATGGAAAGACGTCATCCAAGGTCAGTCATAGTGTACTTTACCTACGCCTTGTTGGTTTGACCACTTCCTCTCTTACTTTTCATAGGAAGATTTTGGTATAAATTTGCAGTTTAAATAACTTGTTGTAGAAAGAATGAGCGGATAATAGGGCCATATCCGATTGCTGTGTCTTTGCGCGTCTGAGAAAGAAATGTGTCCCACTGAAGTGTGTCTCACTTTCGCTCATCAGAATGATCATACATTTGGCTTTCATCCGCAGATTACCTTAAGCGCTTTCGCAACTGATTGCTGATCGAAAATTCTCACAACTTTTTCTGTATTGGCTAGTATCGATAACTTTGCCGTTTTCCCCTTAGTTGAGTTTTCCTTTGTTTGCATTACTATCTAGAATATAACTAAGCAGCGATTATTCTATGGTACCATTCAAGCAACAGATGTTTCTCTGTAAACCTTTCTTAAGTTAACCAAGATTTGTTTCAAGTCCTCGTTCAGTTAACTTTCTTATCTTTTTAGACTACCGTGAAGAGTCACACAGAACAGACAAGCGACTTACATGCAGTCCTGAGGAAATTCAAGCTTCATGTAAGAAAATTTAAGCAATACTAAACCAGTTCCTATCAACCCTTTAACTCCTAGAAGTAATTAACTTGTAAATTCTTCCCTATAATATCCATACATATCCAGCAAACAGACGATACTCAAACTTATCATATTCAAGATATTATCTTGATTGAACACCAAATTCTCGTTACCGATTTACAAGGAAATGTGTAGCAGCTAGAGGAGAGAATGAACAATCAAATCTTGGGAGTTAAATGGTTAGGAAGCTCATATTTTTCTTTTAGTGGGAGAAGAGGAAACTCGTACCACCTTTCCAAACCAATCAGATAGGAAACAAAACCAAGTCGTGACGTGGTCACTCATGTTCTCCCACGCTTCCGATATTTTGCTTATTTTTACCTTGGTCTCTTTTAGCTCCTTTTGATATCTATATTTTAGTCTTATTAGCAAATTATTAATTAATTGTTATGCTTGCTTTGTGATCCGACAGACTATTACGAAACTAACAGCCAGTGCACTTAACTTTAATGTGCTCGGTGCAGCCATCAAGGCAGTTGTAGAATCAGTGTCTGCTCTGGACGGAGAAAGCTTCAGGTGTTCAGTTGAGAGAAAGTTTAGCCTGCTGTACAGAATGGCTAGGTATGCGAGCAAACTACTTGATTAAAAAAAACATCCAGTAGCGTGTATCTTGAAGATTTACGCAGGAATTTTTTAATTATTGGCAATCCGTTCTAATCATATCTCCTCTTTGCCATCCATAAATCAACTGCCCCGCACAGTAAGGGATTAGGCCAGTGTATCTTATTTGGGGCTGCTACGAGTATTGCTTTCCCTTCCAAAATCGCTGTACCTATCATCGCCTTTTGTTTTTCCTTTTTGTTACCGAAGTACTCAAATACCAGGTTTACATATCGCTCTTTTATGGTTCGCAGGACAAATTTAGAATTAGAGCAAGTAGATAAAGTCGCAAGGAAACTTTCAAGTCCAAGGAAATCATGTTTTGGTGAGTACTCTGATGCTACTGTATGTGAAACTTTGACCATGAAAGGGTTGTGACGATCTTTAAATTTTCTCTATCTGGGATCAATTCTTTCCTTTCTATCCAAGCGGAACTTGTGTAGTAAAAGACTCAAAGAACTTGGATACCAATTTCTAACGAATGTTAATTATTACTGTGAGACTTTCGATGTCTCATAATGACAGTCATTTTCTTCCTCTTTTATTCTTGTTTCGTGCACTGTTTAGGTCCACTCATGCGTGCTTTCCAGTTTCATTCCCAAACACTTGTGGGTCCTTTGTTGTCTGTGTGGTCAGATCTGACTGGTACTGAAGACCTCAAAGAGTCGTCTTCCAGGTGAAATTCAAGCGCGTTTCTCTGTAATTGAAGCTAATTATAAAATGAAACTTCCAACGGTGGAAACAATATGGTTTAAGCTCCATCTATACTGTGCGTGATAAATTTGAAACGGCGTTTTTCGTTCTGCAAACGCAACAAAATATTACCGTCTGCACGTGGCCGTATGAGTTTGAAATTGCAATAGCCACAAGCGGTAGAACCGCTAAAAAAGTGAAAGACCAGTATTAGGGAGGCGTGCATTTTCAAAAAGTTCTGTTTTCAGTCAAGATTAGTATAGATGACAGGCTTAAACGTATAAATTAATTTGCAGGCGTTATAGAGTGGAAGATAGACGAAAACGCTTCAAAATGTAAACGACAGTAAAAACAAAATACTGAAGATACTCAAGAGCAAAACGAAAACGTTATTATGGTGAAAATATTTTGCTTTGTATTGTTTAAGACGAAAACGGACACCTTTGATTGCACATTAGTTTGGTCGGGGCCTTAGAGTGGACGGGTCATATGCACAACCCAAAATTATGCCTAGCGGGCACAGATAATTTTGAAAAATATCCTCACTGCTTATGCTTGCTTTTCGTTTATTTGTGAGCAAAATATTACGAGTAAATTGACGCGTAATAGTTAAAAAAAGTAATACTGCATTCTAAATCTAAGCTGGGATAAAATTAAGTTGTTGTCTTATTTCAGTGGCACAATCAGTTTCCAGGAGTGTCCTCTACTCTTGAGAGATGCACCCTCATTGTTGATACAAATGATGTTGTCATGGCCGGCACCGCTTTCACACCGTAAGTACAGTATGGTTTCCTCGGCGTAGTATCATCAGAATTGCCATTTTAGTAGTGCTTTACTTACCAAATACTAACGTTCTGTATGGTTTGATGCAAAGTGTCAGAAGGAAATGACATGACCTCCAATCATTTTATTTTGGCCCTGTGATGTAATTTATTCGAGGAGTCGGTTCTAACAGTGATCTGGTATTGTTGGTTATTTTCTCCAATCGCCGTATCGTGTTTTATTTCAGGTGACTTCATGTGCTTTGTACAGCTGATATTTAATTTGGTGTTTACGCAGGTGAGAAACTCAACCTTTTCTGTGAGATGCTAGATACTATATGTAGATATTTGAATTATTCACTTACTCTGAACAGATTCGGCCTTCTCTTCTTGTCCAGATTTGACCTCAAAGAGCATTCGTTTTATATACATGTTTGTATATATATTTATTTTTTCAGGCTCTAGTTGAGACTTGTTGTAAGTTTGTCGGAGATGAAAAACTTTCGTGGCAAGACTTAGGAAAGAAAGCAGCATCACAGGTAAACACAAATTGTTACGATTTGCCCGCCAGGGTCGTTAAGAAGGCTTTTTTCGCAAGGAAAAATATCATACTAAAATTGCATCCTAAGAACTGTCCAGTCGATATCTTCATTGTGTGTGCCGATGGAAGGCTTATAAAGAAAATGCAGAAGTCTCTAGGAGGATCTTTGAATTTTTTAATTGACTGGTAATGTTTGGTAGCTTTTACTAATTATGATGGCCAAGAATTTTTACTTCTTGTTAAAGGTAGAAAGAGGTCCAAATTCGGAGTTACGATGTAAACGAGTAGATAAGAGGAAATGAACAACAGATCGGCAGAGGACGACTGAAAGGGGGATTTTCCCCAACTACAACCCCAGTTGCAAAGAACGAATTCGGCCAGAAAATTGTAACTTTTTATTTTGGAAAAAGAGCTGCCTGGTGACCGGTCACTTTCAATCTACGAGTAACCCAGATTGTTTAATCAGTTATTTTGTTTTCATCTTCATTTTAGGAAATTGTTCAGGGCCAATTATCTGCCGATCTTTTATTGGGGTATGTTTGCCGTATGCTCAGTACCAGTACCTTGATCAAGGAGGATCATCACACCGGAGGGGTAAGTTATCTCTGTCGCCTATCCCCTCCCTCACCACACGGCAAGTATTAAAGATTTAGAGACATCCATACCCTCCCCTTCCCCCCCCCCCGTTATCCCCCCCCCGTTATAGCTAGTGAAATGTCTCTTATGAAACCCTACTTAGTTGTTTCAAGTTACTGAGAAGTAAGGGTAATTTTATTCACCAAGTTATTTCGCTTTTAACTTCATAAACATCCTCTCATTGATCATTGGTTTTTTCCCTTCGTAGATCTCGCAGTCGGTATGGTCCCCACATACTGTGGAGCGTTCCATACAAGACTTGTGTTTGGGGTTCTTGCGGTCGGCAAACGCGATGGCGGCCCTGTGCTTTGGTGTGGAGGTACCGCAAGTTCAGGTAAGTGTGTTTTCATTCCTTTTTCTACACTGAGGCCTAGTTGTATAAAGAGCGGATCACGCTATCTAACGGATAAATCGCTCTTCAGCGGATAAATGTTAACAAAACGCGCTCTGTTATCCACTGGATACAGATTTATCCATTAAATAGCGTTTTCCAACCTTCGAACAACAGGGGCCAGTTCTCTGGGTTGTAACCAGTTTTGCAAATAATTTCATGGGATTTCTTGTATTGCATCTTTACTTTCGATATTCATCCTCCTGGTTCCGGTTATTCAAAGGGTTGATAACGCTCTCTGGTAGATAGCGCAGTGTATTTTCTTCACACATTCGCTGGATGGCGATTTATGCGCTGGATAGCGTTATCTGCCGTTTAACCAACTGGACCTGTTGTTTAGTTACTTTCCTCGATGATCCTTTATGAGTATAGTAAGGTTTATTTCGTAAAGGAGTTGGTATCCTTACACAGCAAATCCAGTCAAGGAAGCGTATTTTATTTATTTATTTTATTATTATTATTATTTGTTTTAGGACACTGATGCTGAATTCCGTGCATTGGCCTCGAGCCTGGGTTTATGTGATCCATCTAGTAATAGTCGAACCGAGTCCTTCTCGTGTGTAGATTGCCTAAAGTGGCCTCATTCCAAGCCTCGGAAAGTGATACGACGATGGTGTGATGCTCTGCTGCTGTGTTTCACGCAGCGAAAGGCCAAACTGAACAGAGTGAGTTTGCTGATTGATGAATAAAATTCGTCAAGGATGTATTTGACAATAGCTTTCATCAGCAAAATTGAATTATAATTTAACTTTGTGTTGTTATATCCACGTAGAGATGGGAATATATTTAGCGGTGATAGACCAAGGTTTGTATTCAGTTTCGCGTGGACGGAGTATTTTCACACAGCAAAACTTACTGCTTGTTATATCTGTAGGAACTTCTTCCCAACTTGAGTCAGTGGCCGCCACCCAGACTACTTCAACTACCTGAGCGATACGACAGGTAAGTGACCAAACTGAGGTAAACTAGGTTTCTCACCACCCAAATATCAAGGGCTTCTAGAACAGCAAGTAATTATATCTGAGGAGTTTACTGTTTTGGAGAAGAAGGGAACAGGGTTCCCTAACTAAAGCCTGTATGCGACACCTTTAATGTACTTCCTTCCTTTCTAAAGTACGAATATAAGTTCTTTTGTCTCTTGCTAAATAGTTTGATCCAGCATTACCGGAAGCGGAAATGCACCAAGTGTGGCAGCGCTCCAGATGATCCTGCAGTATGTTTGGTGTGCGGTAAATTCAATTGTCTCCAAGGAAGTTGTTGTGTTGACGGGACAGGCACAACAGATAAGTATGAATGCATACAGGTTAGAAACGAAGTTCTGTCACTGATTTTACGCAACCGCTAGCTTTCATTCACTATCGGTTCTCACGTGTTTCGTCTCTTTGTCTCGCGAGCTCAAGGATTTGCAATTATGATATCAATAGAGAGACCGTTTGCTTACTTTACGTAACGACAAATAACTGTTGTCAACCGTTCTTGTTCCTTGATTTTTCGGCAGTTTAATCGCCTAGTTTGAGGCTCGTTTCGAGAGTATGTACGACCTCTGAGCAGTCTAAGCCCTTTGGGTGTGGCATGTATTGTTTTTGTGACTCCGCCTATACACTTCATTCTTGACCGAATTTATATTACTTTGTTAATTTTATGCTTTTTATTTGTTAGCATGCCTTGAATTGCGGGAGAGGGACTGGGATCTTCCTGATCGTGCTCTCTTCAGTGATTATTATAATCAGAGCCGATCGGGTCTGTATCTGGGGCTCAGTCTACCTCGATAGCTTTGGCGAGGAGGACCGGGATTTAAGGTATGGTGGAGTAATCAGAGCGCTTGTCACTCGATTGATGATTAATATGAATTTGATATAAATTTTAGAATGGGATCTTAGCAGCAGCACATCCACGAGGTGGTTTAACGTCCACTGTTGTGTTCGACTTGAACTTTGAGATTTTGTTTTTGTGAAGGCAGAAAAAATCCAAAGAAACCGCAGAAAAAATTATTGCGCAAGGACAAAAATCAATAAGGCTCAAGCCACATGTGACGCCAGCTCCGTGAATTTAACCCAGGCCCCAGCGGAGGGGAGAGAAATACTTTCCTCACTACTACATCCTTCTCCTTCTCAGTGTGTGAAATGTCTCGTTTACCATTATTTAATCTCTTCGACAGGCGAGGGAAACCTCTGTTTTTGAGTCAGGATCGTTTTAATAGACTTGAAGAGCAGTGGCTCACGCATAGCTTCGATTACATGTGCAAGAGATGGAAACGTCATATGAACACTTTGTAGATGTACGAGTTCACCACACGCATCAAACCATGGAAATCGGATGACTTCAGACGTAGTTAGGGTTCCGGCCCAGTGTATTGAGTTCAGACGCAGTCTTGCGCTGGTACGCTATTAATTCAGGAAGCAGTCTATTATGTTAAGACGCAGTTAATTTCGCTACACGGCTTTTCATTTAGACGAAGTCTTCTAGGTCCAGGTTACGACGCGTATTTACAGTCTGGAGGTTCAATAACCGCCCTAGTAATACATTGGTTCTACGACAATTTGCGGGGAAAGCAAAACTTTTAAAGAAACCAAGGACCCATAGAAGAAATAAAATTATATATCGAAATTTGTCCATCTAAAGAGATTCGTGTTCTCGAGTCTCTTTAGACGAATTAAGAGGAAAGTGAATTTTTCTCTGCTGTGGTACAGGTAATGTTCATTACATTTCATTTATTTATTTATCATATGGTAATAATTATTTTTATGTATAGCAACAGTTAGATGGGAAGCAGTAAAATTTTTTTCAGAAATATTTCGTCTTATCAGACGCGAACAGATGTTGATGTAGTTTCAGATTAATAAGGGGGGCATGAGCTCTTTCACTCCGAGGGGTGACCAGGAAGGGATTTCTTCTTACAACATGAATGGATTTTCAAGTAGAAAGGTGACCGTTTGATATAACTTTAAATTCTGAGAACTGAGGTCAAGAGACGTTTGGAAGACAGTGTGCACAATCGATATTTGTATCGTGAAAGTGTCAACGGAGCTCTGTCTGTGTTTGTACGTCTTCCAAAACTTGGCCTTAAGTTGTCAAATTTCACGGTGATTATTGTGCAATCTGTGGTGTTCTTGCTTTCCCGAATTTGTTTCGTTTCATCTTGGTACATTTCCATCCCCTAAAGGCGAACGTTTATTTTTAAGGCTTATTATAATCAAATACAATTTCCTTTGACGCAAAGAATGTCACAAAGCTCCTCCTGAAATTAGCTAACTATAAACAGACTTGTCGAGTTCATCGGTTGGGTTCATCTGTAAGGATTTTGTGTTTTGTAATAACTGGGAAACACTAAATTTTCTTTAGAATGTAGCAAACAACCTTTACTTCTAAGAATGATAGAACTTTTTCTTCCGTATGAACAGAATTCTGTTTGCGCGACACAAAATCGGCCAAATGGAATATTTTGCTTTGTTACCTTCACTTAAATCTCTTCATCAGGATCTCGTTTGGTATAGTATTGTATCGTAGGGCATTTTGTATATATATATATTTTTTTGAACAACGGCCTAGTTATGCATTGGCACAAATAGATTACGGACACAGTGGACCCTGTAAATATTGCAAAGTTTGCTTGTACCAAAGGCTTATGTGAAAGAAATTGAGTTGAATGAAAGCTTGAGTTGAATGAAAGCTTGAGTTAATGAACGTTCTTGATTTGGTGTATTGTGAGCTCCCCCCACCTCCTCCCGCGCAGGCGGGCGCGCGCACGCACCCTCATCTCACGTTTCAAAAAGGTCCGCCACTTGTGCACTAGGATGTTGTAAACATGAAAACAGTCGAAGGCAATTTTGAACAGTTGGATACCTGTTGAGAATCTAAATTATTGCGCACATGTTTCAATGGTTACACAGTTACTTGAGGATATCTCACGTATTTAACTCTACGACGAACTCCAACCTTTTTGCAATTCCTGAGTACGTATCGTAGGCAACGAAGCCCTCTTATCAGTTTCTACACCAGGAATGTTATAGGTTAACCCTTAAACTCCCAGAATTGATTAACAATATCCATACAATATCCAGCAAACAGGTAATGAGGATACTCGAAACATATCAATTAGAAGTTGCTGTCTTGATCTAACACTAAAGTGATTCTTGTAACTAATTTAAAAGGAAATATGCAGTAGCTGAAGGGGAGAATTGCCTATCAGATCTCGGGAATTTAAGGGTGAAGTGCCTGTAACGGAACTACGTACGCCTACTCGGGATGGCGCGGGTTTATACAGCCTTGGTTCATCAAGAGCCTCAAAAACACATTGGACCCTCAAAGAACACAATTTTATTGACTAACGTAATGAGATCTCAATCGTAACATTTGACCTTTGCTTAAAATTTTACACCAAGGTAAGTTTTCCGTGTACATGAAACTCAAATTTAACCAAAAGAACATAACACTGCTTACAAAGCGCTCTGAAACTTTGCCATAGACCATTAGTTTTAATCCACAACGTAAACTTGACATCTATAACAAACCAAAGATAATCTATCATTGTTACATCGGTAATGGTTTAGATGAACCACTCTGTTCTTGGGACTTGCCCGTGTCTACTTTATTAGCATCTTTGTTCGTCTCCTTAGTGGTAACAGAAGTGATTGCACTAAACTGCTTGGAGCTTGCGGCAGTCATTCCCGCCGGCAAGTGTTGGAAGGATTTCACAGCAGCTGAGCGGTGTGGCTCACTTGTAATCGAGGGTTTGACACCGACTGTTTTCAATGGCTGTCCCGCCAAGGAACTTGGATTCGATTGGGGTAGATGAATTGAACTTGCAGATGTTACTGATGGTGCTTGTTTTGCAACAGTAGAGACGGCAGTGGAAGTACACGAGGACGTGCCTTTAGGGGGCTCAAGAGGAACACCAGGTGAGGGACCCCCAGAGGCACTCTTTGAGGTACCCCGGGAGGGGATGGCCTCAGAGGGCTCCGCGGACTTGGTTTTTGTCACATTTTGTGACGTGCTGCTGGAGGAAGTGCTGGGTGCACTTTGTGAAGGAGAAACTAGGGTGGTCAGCTGGAGCACAGTTTGAGAGACAGCTGGCGAAGTACAAACTGTAGAAGTTGTTACTTTGGCTTCCTCTTTGGTTTGAGCCACATTCAATTTGAGTTGGGATTCGTCAGGTTGCTTTTCAGCAGATTCTGAATGTCCTGGCTGGACGGATGCCGATTTATCAGGATCAGACGTGTCTTTTGATTTCACAAGGCTACTCTCTTGTTTCTCTGCCTTTTCAGTATCGCCTGATTCCTCTCTTTCTTTTAACTCTAATACTTTAGGATCAGCATCAACCTTGCTATTATCAGCAGAGGCACTACTGACACCTTTGTCTTTAACATCGCTGCATGGCACTACCTTGGAATCTGTGACTGCAGCCTGTTTTACACCACTGACACTTGCTACGGGTGTTCCCTGCAGAGGTAGCTGTGGGCTGCTACAAACAGCCACAAGGCTAGCAGCTGCAAGACCAGGAGATATACTCTCCGACACAGGGCTAAGCTTGGGTTGCACTGAAGCCCCTGCTGAGCTAACTGAGGATGTTTCTTTATCTTCAGAGATTGCTGACAACTCCTTATTGTCAAGGTCAGCCTTTGTGTCACTTGAATCTACTTCCATTTTCTCTGTGGTGTCTAATGTAGTACCCTTAGTGGACAAGGGGGCTGTCATAGCATGCTGCTGCACTCCAGTGGTGGTGGGTTGTGCCTGAAATGACTCACCAGTGGTAATTGGAGGCAAAAGCACAATGGATTTCTGCTGTAAAGCCTCTGGTACTCCTGTTACACTTTGTTTGCTACCAGATGTTCTGGCTTTCCTTAAACTTAAATTTAAAAAAATAGAAAAAAAATTAAGCTTTTATTTTGCATTTTCCACAAGTACTGATTGACAAAATAAATTTATGTGCCAGCACCTCTGACAAAGTTAATACCTACACTAGCCAACAAGAAGATTCAAATGTACCAGTGGTTTGGATTTGTTGAAATTTGCCAAGAAGGTAATTTTTTTGTTAAATTTATAAAGTTAACATGCAATGTTGTCTCACTTGGCTCTTTCCTTGGCATTCTGTAGGTCCTTTTCCACACTTGGCCTCTTCATATTTGCAGGTAGCTCCATGTGCAGTCTGCATGTTGACTGGGTGAAGATCTTTGCAACATTCCTATCACAATGTGTTTCACCTTTGGATGGAAATGTGCACCTTTGAAAAAGGTGCTGGTTAGGGTCATGAGTAATGTCTGTAATGAAAGTGTGTTAAGGATTCAAAACAAAGCAGCAAGGAGGCAGTTGTGCATGCTGCTTTAGATATTAACTTACACATATTGTGCCACAATGAAGAGGATGTAGAGGAGTTTGAGGAATTTCAAACTTTATACACAAACACAAACCTCAATATTGCAAATTCTGGCCTTTCATCATTCATATCACATTTCATGCAAGACCCTGGTACAAAACAAGACCCTGGTACAAGCCATCCTGTTACAGTCTAGATATTAAAGGATACGTTTCATACAGTGTTTTGTAAGAGGTAAAACTTTTTCAGTGCATCTATTTCCTCCTGGAGAATATGTGCAGCGTAGATTGGACACTCCTTGTTGCCGAGTGTTTGCCCCTTGTTTTTTCTCTTTTGCTTGCCGATGCAAGAGGGCTTCAGTACCAGGACAATCATGACGAGATTTCCGACCAAGCAGTTGTGTGCGAGTCAAATTGCACTCTCCTAGCATCACAGAAAACATAGTTGTCATTTAAACCCATTACAACCTGGCATCAGCACACATACTCTCCATGCTGTTCTGTAACCAGTTCCTATGGCACTAACAAGAAGAATTTGTTCAACATTCAAGAGCTTCAGGGGTGAAAATATGACTGATCACATTGAAAGTGATTGAATAACTCAAAGTCAAGGGAGAAATCCAACAAAAAAGGAAACTGAAAAGTAAGAAAAACAAAACAAAATAAGGATGCTATTCAACAAACAATACCCCAGAAAGAATACTGGTCACTTTGAGATTTAACAGGGATGTATGGCATTTTGATGACCTTAAAAAAACAGAGTGGATCGTTGTTTGATAACCTGTATCTTCAATTTCCTCTGCTTGAATAGCTTGACAATATTTTCTCCTTCTCTCCCTCAGCACGTGTTGTAACCTCTTGAACTGTGTAATGTACAGTGAGCGCAGTCTGATCATCTTATCACGACACATCCTGGTAGCTTCTTCCACTGACCAAACCCCAGCATGCCTAAAATAACCATAGATGCTTCATCCTTATACTCCAAACCATGATGCCATAACATATGTTTCTTTAATTTAAAGCACATTAAGTAGTCTGTTATCTGTCAACATTACTCATAGGTTTGACCAGGGAAACCCAAATATTTAAGAAATTCTGCCATTTTGCTCAGGAATGCCTTTTCAAGAGATTTTTCACAGCAATTATTTTAAGTATCATCATTAGCATCACCATCATTATTCTTGTTAATTTTATATCAGCCTAAAGTTTGGTGAGTAAAGGGGGTGAGTTTCTTGAGAAACTGTGATAATGCATCACAGGGAGTATTACAAGACAATTTGGTTTAATCAACTGGGCCTGGTTGTTCAAAGCTGGGTTAAGATAATCCAGGGTTTCAGATCTGAAAGCTTAAAAGAAAATCCAGTCTAATTCTCTTTGTCCAAAATTTGATCATTGCATGCTCTAACAAGAAAAGAGAAAATTGTCTAAAAAACACATTTTATCAAAGAAATAAAGAAACTCAGATTTAGATTTGATCCTGGGTTTGCAGTAATCAACCTCTGAACAACTGGACCCTGGGTTGATAATGTAAATTTGCCACCATAAAGAGGTTCAACTCAGCTGTTGCTTTAGAACAAAAGACAAAAGCTCAAAAAGTCAGATTAGAAACTCTTTTATGGTGGCCAGTTTATGTTATCAACTCAGTTGAAATAAACCAAATCAAAACTTGGTGACATTGGCTCCTTTGAAACGCATACTCACTTCAGTGGGTCTTCCTCTTCACTATCAACAGATTCAGCATCGCTATCAATATCACCATGCCATGCACTGTCCACCTTAAGATAATCATCTCCACTATTACCACCATCTTCATCTTCAAGACATAATGAACACAGACTCCATGAATGATATCAAACATTGATAGATTGGCTGTAGTATAGGTAATATTTTTAAAAACCCTTACACTCCTGGAAATAACCAGTAAGTAACTTCCCCTTGTATTATTAGAACATTGTAAAGCAGAGGGGGAGAAGTATGACGAGTACTAACTACATGTAAGATAGCATAGGATATTCTTTGATTTAACCTTAAATTCTCTGCACTTAGTTTATAAGAAAGGTATTAGAGACAGTCAGGAGAAATTGTATTCAGATATTGAGAGTGACAAGGTTAAAAAAGGAGGTCATCTGTTCCCAAATCATAGGTTATCTGTTGAGGTAACTACAAGATTTCATTGACACATTACCCATGATGTACTTTTGGTCTTGTCTCAGAATAAAGCGTGTTCATGTACCATGTGTTCTTGCTTTGACAATAATCCACTTTGAACCATGGTGGCAGCCATGGGATCAAAACAAGCTGGCAACTGCCAGAGTTCTGTCGGCAACTTGATAACATGTCACCAATTACCCTAGTCA